GTGAAGATTAAATGCGTTCATACAGGTGAAATGAGGATTAAAGTCTCGGCTTTAAACTAAAGGCTGGCGCTACCTCTGAATCCTTTAAACTTATTCAAACCCCATATTCCCCTCCAGAGACCTCCAGAGCCCCGAGATCCCTCCAGCCGTGGTGCGTGGAGGAGGGGAAGTTTTCAGCTCTCCCGGCCTCTCCCAAAGTGGCCTTCTCAGCCCCCCGAACCGACAAGGTGCTCCAGGACCACCGCAGAGGACGCATCAAACAGGCCCTGCCGGCGGAGACAGAGCTGCCGCCTCTCAGAACTTCAGAGACGCACAAGAAAGGCTCTGAGAAACCCTGCAGGGAAGAACCCTGTCAGATGTGTAAGCTGGTGTTTCCCAAATTTATTTGACCACGAGCACCCTTTTTCTACCCAATGTCAATTTAACAGCCTCCCGGAAAAGCACTGATAGTCAAGGTCATTTCTGGCTCATCGTCTCTGCCGCCCAGAAAAGACAGAAGCTTTTCTGAAAACCATCGTCTCTGCCTTTGAAAAGCCCCTTCCAGTTTTTCAAGCACTTTCCCAGGCGCCCACGGGAAAGCGCCGGCCTGTGTGATGTGCTCCCAGCCCTGCTCCGGGGGTCGGGGCAGACGGAGCAGGAAGGGCCCCTCAGGGAGGAGTGGCCAGCTCCCTTCCACCCCCTGCAGCTGCCTGTGGCTCCCACAGACCAGACGGAACACCCAGAACATTGTCAGGACAGAAGGCAGTGTCTTCCAGGAGGCTTCTAGAAAAAAGAGTTGCCAAAAAGAAGCCTTTGTGGGTTGAGCCAGCCCAGCCTCGGGCGAAGGAGGCGCGTGTGGCATCCGAGTCTCCTGGTAGCGGCAGAGGACGCCCCGTAGCCACCAGGCGCTGTTCACAGGGCCAGTGCCGCTTAAAAATAGTCCCTCCCATCTCCCTAAATGTTTCGGCCATTCCAACATTTGGCAACAGAAGCACATCTTCCAGACAGCCGTGTGAACATGGGACAAGTGCCAAAGTTTGTCTCTAGGCCCTGTGGGGTTTGGAAAATAAGATTAATCAGCTAGTCAATGGAGGAGAAAGACATTTACCGAGCCCCGACTACACAGTGGGCATCGTGGCAGAAACCCTGTCTTTATGAGGAGATCTCGATTCTGGTAACAGCCCCACTTTACAGATGGAGAAGCTGAGGCTCCCCGAGGTGCATTGACATGCCCAGGGACGCAGCAGAGCTGAGATGCAAACCCAAGCCTGGGTTTCCCTTTCAGCCTAGCATGTCGCCACTCCACTGAGCCTTCTTGGCAGCCTGGCTGAGGTGGCCAATGAATGCACCAAGTCCAGTTCGTGCATGGTCCCCAGGACCCCTCCTCGTCACGAACCCGGGTTCTCGGGGCCTGGGGTCAGATGGAAAGCTAACATGGCCTGGCCCCGAGTGGTCAGGCCCTTGTCGTAGATGGAAGTGGCATTTGGGTTTGTCTCCGTGTTCTGAGAATCCAGCCGTTTCAGCCCCTTAATCTGATCATCCTGGGGAGGCGGGGGGACAGGCAGATGAATCAGTTTTCTGAGCCGGCTGAGCTGAACACCAGCCCACCGGCCTGAGGTGGCCTTGCCAATGCAAAGACCTCCCTGGAAACCCGGCCAGAGCCGGCGCCCAAGCTGGGCTGCTCGTTTCTGGGGGGTTCCTGCCTGCCCCCGACTGCGGCTGCCTTCCCTGAGTCCTGCTCTGCCCGCCTGCCTTGCAGGGTCCTGGCACTCATCCTGGGGTCGGAGGTTAAGGCCTGGGTTCATCACCTTTGGGAAAATGCCTTTGGAAACCCCTTTCCCTCTTCTGACCCTGAAGAATTCCTGGCTCAGGGGCGTGGCTGTTAGCTGGGCAGGAGGTCAAGGCAGAGTTGGGGCTGCCCCTCACCTGCTGTGTCGGCATAGCCGAAGGGAAGGAAAGCCCCGCCTTGAGCTCTGGGTCCCCTGACACATCAACCTGGCCGCGCCCTCCTTCCTGCCCATCACAGGACGTGGCCATGGGAGAGGCCCCGCCCACCGCTCCAGCTCAGCCTTAAGCCCTCTGAGAGGCAAGCCTCCTCTTCTCTGTCCCGGCTGGGCAAGACGGAGGCAGGAAAGACAGTGATTTGCCCATGACCCAGAACCTAGGCAGGAATGGGCATCACTCCTGGGTCTGGCTGACTCTGGATTTTGGGGGGTCCTTCCTCCCCAAACAGTGCAGTGGTTACCGGTGCGGGTTCTGGAGCGAGCCTGCCAGACTCAAGTCCTGGCTCCTCAGCCTCCTCGCTGGGCCACCTGGGGCTGTCACTCAGCTTCTCTCTGCCTTAGTTCTTTTGTGTGTATAGTGCTACCAGAGTCCCTGAGTGTAAACCCTGTGTTAGCTGGGTGACCTTGGGTGAGCGACTTAACCTGTCTTTTCCTCCATTTACTCCAGTTTAATGGAGAGCTCAGTACACGTGCGGCCAGGCTCGGCAGAGGACTGGACAAGGGGACAGCGTGCCCAGGGCGTTCCGGCAGGCGGTGCCTGGCCGACCCCCGGGGCTGCCGATGGTTTCCGGCGCTGACGTCCAGGCCTGCCATCCAGGCTCACTGCAGACAGATGCACGGGACACAGGCCCCGGAGGGCCTGTCTGGGGAGGAAAAGTGGGTGGCAGGGGACCGAACTTGTCCCTGTATGTTACCTTCTACCCTCAGAATCGTGTATGACACACAGGTAGCGCTGCCATTAATGAAATTCCTTACGTCACTTGTACAAAGATGCTCTCTCGCCTGACACCCAGCCTCGTGCTGGCCAGAGGGCCCCGTCCCTTGGGTGTCCCTGCTTCCAGCCTGCACTCCTGTTGCAGCCACGCCCAGGCCTTTGTCCTGGCCCAGCCTTTTAGCCCACTCCCTGCCCTTGTTTGTTGTTTAACGATTTTATTATTTGTTTTTAGAGCGAGGGGAAGCTGCCTCTCGCATGCCACCCAACTGGGGACCAGGCCACAACCCAGGCCTGTGCCCTGACCTGGGCATCGAACCAGCGACCCTTTGCTTTGCAGGGTGACGCAAAACCAACTGAGCCACGCTGGCCTGGGCTGCCCATTCCCTGTCTTGCAGCAAGGCCGCAGTGCAGCTCAAGGTCCATGAGGCCTCTCCTTCCAAGCACAAGCCTGTCGCTTACCAGGTGACATGGGCCGATGGCTGCTCCTCCCCCATCCCACCTGTGAGATGATGGTACCTCCCCCACAGAGTGACTGTAAGGACTAAGATGAGGCACTAATTCTCTCCCAGGGTCTCCCTGCGCCTTCCCGTCCTTTGACAGGACAGATGACGTTGAAGGAGAGCTGCCTTCTTCTCAGAGCTCCTCTGCAGCCACCGAGCCCCCGCCCCGCCTGCCCCGGGCCTCCAGGCCACCGTACTTGCTCTTCCCTCCGCCCAGCCGGCCCTTCCCTGAGCTCCTGAAGGCTGACTCCTTCCTGTTACTCAGTGTCTCGCACGTGGTGCCCCCGGAGGGGCCTCCCAGACCACCCTGTCTGAAATGGCCCCCACCCTCTTCTCTGGCTCTTGCCCATTTCTTTTCTTCATGGTTTGTACCATTACCCGAAACTGTATTTTTTCCATAACCTTTTTTGTGGGAGCAACTTCAGATCCACAGAAAAGTTGCAAACACAGCACAGAGGCCCCTGCGGATGCTTCACCCAGTTCCCCTAATGCCCATGACCACGCCGCGGCCCTTCTGTCAAAAACCAGAAATTAGCGCCGGGACTAAACTACCCTGAAGTAAACTGCAGATGTTCGTCAGGTGAAATTTCATGCCTCCTTGGTTCACTTACTTGTTTCCAGCTGCTTCCCCCACTGGAAGGAAAACTCTGGAAAGCAGGGTCACCTCTCTTACCACCAGCTCCCTCATACCTGGCAGTGGATGGCGATGGGCAGAAGGAGGGGAAATGTGGCAAAGACAGCCAGTGATTACTGGGGACCCCCTCTGCCAGGCACTGTTCGTAGTGCGCTGCACCAAACACTGTAAATTGTTTGTGCCTCCTAACAACTCATGCGGCAGCTACTAAAGGTGGGGAGACTGAGGCACAGCGCAGCTTGGTAGCTGTGCCGAGTGGCTGGGCTGCAGCACCTTCCTCCGGTACCAGAACAAACGCTGGCCCTTCCATGAGCATCGTCCCGTCGGGACAGGAGGGTCAGCACACTGCCCTGGCCAGGACGCGGAGCTCCCGCTGCGGCCGATGTGCCTGAAGCCACAGGGTGGAACCTGAGCTTCCTGCCTCCGGCTGGCTGCCACAGGCGGCGGCCGCCCTGGCTCTGCCCGGAAGGGTGTGAGGCCTCTCCCGGGGTCACCAACCCCGCTCTGCTTCAGGAAACGAGGGCAGCAAGTTCAGTCACACACAGGGCTCACTCCTGTGCCCCTGATCCCCAGGGCTCTGCAGACAAAGACTGGGCCAAAGGGCTGAGACCCCCACCCTCTCCCTCTGCCTGTGGCCTGGGCCTGGGTCTCCAGGATCCGGTCACTGGAGGAGGCAGGTTCGGGGCATGGGCTCTCTCCTCCCAGAGGATGCAGCCTTCTTAGGGCACCCTGCTGGCCTCTGGGAGCCCTTCTCTGGGGAGGAGGAATGGTTGCTCCTTGCTGGGCAGGGGGCAACGTGGGGGATTACAGCTGTCTTTTCCCAACTCCCTGGGTCCGGCTGGAGAGGTGTCCCAACGCCTCCCAGAGGGAAAAGCCGTTCTGAAGCAGTCAGGACTGAGGCCAGCCGCCTCTGTCCAGCCCAGACTCTGCCCAGCGCCAGCCTGGTGCAGGCCGGAGGCCCTAACAATGTTTGCTGGATGCCGTGAACACAAGCGTCAGTGCCCAGAATCTCCTTGAGGTTTCAGCCAGGCATGCCTGCCCCATCCCCCAATCTGGGGAGCAGAGTAAGTATGGGGGGGTGACAGGGGACACCACGAGGTGGTAGCAGCATCCGTGAGAGAGGCAGGCTGCTCAACCCAGAGCTGGGGGTAGGGGTGCCGTGTGCGCGGCTAATTAAACAGTGACTGTGATGAATCGGGAGAGGCTGCTGCTTGCTAATTAAAGATGCAGGCGTCTTGCCTGGCAAGTATGGGAGGCAGGAGCAGCGCTGGAGCCATGTCGAGGGGCCAGGCCAGCAAGGGCAGCGCTTGGCAAAAGCCCCCCAGCCATGCCCGCTCTGGCCACGCCCTCCATTCTCAGGGCCCCCCAGCAGGGCCCACGCCCCCTCCCCACTTCCCTATCTCTTCCACCCACCTTGCCAGAGCCTCAGGCCTCCGACTTCCCTCCCCTCCAACCTCAATTGCTTTCCTGATAAGGGCCCGGTGTTGGGGAGGAGGGGCCTGCTGGTGCCCAGGGTCTGGGCTGGAGGGTGGGCATCATTCAGAACCTTCGAGGTACTTCCTCCCACCCCCACTCCCTAGACCCCAAATTGGACAATGAATCCAACCAGGATGGAGGCCAGCGCGGGAAGGAGGCCCCAAGACAACTTTGAGGACCTTGGATTCTGAGACGCTGGGGGGCTTTAGGCATCCCCCAGTTTTCCTGCTGTGACCACACTGGATGCTCCTCAGGGTCCTGCTCTGCCCCAGAGGCCCTGGCGTGGGAGACAGACAGAGACAGGGAGCACAGGCTCCCTCCAGCCTCGGCACTCGTCTGGAAAAGGGAAGATTCGAACAAATGCCCTCTGACCCCTGGAGCTCCCTGTATGGTGGACAAAAAGACCCCCGAGCTGCCTATCTCTGCCCCGCATCAGCTCAAATGTCTCAATGGCTAAAAGCATGGCCCCCAGGGACCAGACACTTGGGTGCAAGTCCCAGCCCTGCCATTTGCCAGCTGTGTGACCGCAGCATGGTAGCTAATTGCTCTGTGCCTTGGTTTCCCCATCTGCAAAGCTGGGGACAATAATTCTGTCTATTCAATGGATCACTGAGGGGATCAAGAGAGAGACTGCAGGTGAGGTACTCGGCACAGGGTCTGGTCCATGGAACAAGCCAGGAAACGCTGACCACTGTCATTTGACCTTGTGGGGCTCTCGGGCAGGCGCGGCCCGCCACCCACCTCTCCTCCAGGTGACCTCCCTGGCTGCAAGCCCAGCCCTCTGACCCGACACAGGGAGAGCATGTCCCTTTTCACATAAGGGCCCTCACATCCTGTCCTCCCTGACGCCGGCAACCTTTTGAGGGAAGCCGAAGAGCAAGGAAGAAAATGAAGTGGATGCTCAGAGAGGTTAAGTGACTGGCCCAAAGTCAAACAGCTAAGTCAGGGACAGAGGCAGCCCTGGGACTCCAGTGGGAGGAGAAAGTGGGACCGGTGTTTCCCAGGGTGACATTTGTTGACCTTCTACTGGACTCAAGTCCTGAACCAGCCATGATGGAAGGAGCTGAGGAGAATGTGAGACCCACTGTGCCTTCCAGGGAACTGGTCTGGAAGGGGACAGAAAACACATACACAATGAAGGAGAATGGGAGGCCCATTCAGCAGGCCAGGCAGCCCTCTGAGCGTGGGGCTGAGAGATGCCACTTTGTCTTGGAGTTCAATTTGCAAAACAAAAATTCTGCCTTTATTTGGAGGGCAAATCAGCCTTGGGGGAGCCTGGAGGGGCTGAGAGAGCCCTTCACAAAGTGGGTCAGGTACTCTGCTCTGGTGACTGCCTGCTGCTGGTCACTGTCGTCAATGGTGCCTGCTTCTGGAATTCCGGGGTCTGTCCCCACCGGGGACCTGGGACACTGGTTTCAGAGACTATGCTGTCCGAGAAGCCCAGAAAGAATCCACCCACAGCTGAAATGTGTTGTATGTGCCTTTTCCAGGACACCAGACACCCACCAGGAGGGGGGCTTTCTACTGCCGGACACCCCAGCTGGGAAAGGGTGCAGTGCCCATGAGAGAGCCCAGAGACAGTGGAAACCTGAGGCTGACAAACTCCAGGCTGTTGGCCCTAATGCTGGGATGCCTGGTCTTAGGCAGCCAACTGAAAGCGGGCAGGGATGAGGGCAAGGTCATTGCTGTTGGGGGCAATGTCTCCCTCCTCCCTCCTTACCGCTCAGCGCTCAGCCAGAGGGCCTGGACAGGTCTAGCCACAAGGAAGCCCATGCAAGCAAAGCTAGTAGCCCTGCCTTTCAGCCTCCCCAGAGCCCTGGTGCAGCAAGCAGGGCCAACTGCTGGTCTGGGGCGCCCCCTGGTGGCCACTGTGGGTAGTGGTAGAAGCAGCTGTGGGGTTAAGGTGGGTGGTCAAAATTAGAGGACTTCAAAATGTACAATACCACCAATCCCACTGCACAGCTGGGAAAACGGAAGCCCGAGGTCGTACAGAAAGTCAGTGGCCAAGCCCAGAATGGAGCCCAGAAGAGAACCCAGACCTCCCTCTGTCCCAGTGGCTGTTCTTGGTGGGCAGTGGAGGGAAAGCTGAGTGTCCAGGAGGCCCCCTGCCCAGTGACTATGAACAGCTGGACGGCACCTGGAGGGAAGGCAGCTGAGCAGCCGTATGATGAGGCCTGCAGCACTTCCCCTCTCCGGCCCCGAGTTCCTCACCTCTGAAATTTGGGGCTACCGTGTTGTTGCAAGGGGCGAGAGGACAGGGGTCCTTTTCACACGCAGTCAGTAGCGAGGCCGTAACCAGCTGACCCTTCAGGAAATACAGAAATAAGCCTTCTACAGCAGCACCACGTCTAAAGATGAAAGACTGCATGCTTTCCCCCTGAGAGCAGGGACAAGACAGGATGTCTGCTCTTGGCCACTTCTATATGGCATAGTACTGTAAGTTCCAGCCAGGGCACTCAGGCTAAAAAAGAAGGGGTCCATATTGCAAAGGAAGGAGAAATCCTGAAGAATCTAGTGTGTGTGTGTGTGTGTGTGTGTGTGTGTGCGCGCACAGGTGAGGTAATAAATGAGTTCAGCAATGTCAAAAGACACAAGATGAATGTACAATAGTCAATGGTATCTCTATATGTTTGCAATGAACACTTTGAAATATAATTGATAAAATAATTCCATTTACACTAGCATCAGAAAGAATACTTAGGGCCCTGACCAGTGTGGCTCAGTTGGTTGGGCATCATCTCACAAAGCAAAGGGTCGCCGGTTTGATTCCCAGTCAGGGCACATGCCTGGGTTGTGGGTTCAGTCCCCAGTTGGGGGCACGTGAGAGGCAACCACACATTGATGTTTTTCTCCCCTCTCTTTCCCCCTCCATTCCCTTCTCTCTGAAAATGAATAAATACAATATTTTTTAAAGAGAAAGGTTTTAAAAATAAAGTATGCTCATTTCGGTGTTTAAAAATCAGGTGTTACAAGATTCCATTCTTGCAATGAAATGTCCAGTTGATCCAAAGTTTAAATAGAATCACATGTCTATATGTATTTGCACAAAAACACCGGGACGTCTGGGCTTGGGGTGCTGTATGCTCCTCAACCGTCACATGATTTTCTACAATGACTAGGAGTTACTCTCATGGCCACCAGGAAGGATGAACCTAGCTGCTGTGCTTCAGGGGTCCCCTTAGAGGTCGGACATTGTGTGAGTAGAAAGGTGGGCTTTGTGAGCAGCTGGAGCAGCTTGGAGATGGCACAGGGGCAGGTGTGGAGAAGGTCCAGGTTCACTGCTCACCTGCTCAGCCTCCAGCTGAATGAACACCTTAAGGCCCAATCTTCATCGTGTCTTCCTGGAGACCCCGCCCCCTTCAGGTTGCTGGTGGCAACTGCTGCAGAGTCCTCCCACCCGCCTTGATGCGCTAAAGGCACTAGAAATGCAATTCTGGCAGGGTGAGCCGATGGGGGTCACTCCGCTCCCATAGGTGCTAGTCTCTGTCGTGAGCAAGAAGGAGACACCCTAGGTACAGAGCAGGTAGGGGTGGGAGCAGGTTGTCATCCTGGCTGGCTTTGCTACAACCACCAAAAAACCTCCATCATAATAGCTGAATGAGTGCTTTCTACGTGTCTGACATTCAAGCTGTGCACATTACATGGTTCGGCTTCTTGAGTCCTCCTGGTGACCTGAGTGATGGGTGGGATCATCACCTTCATATCACGGATGGGCAAACTCGGTCCCCAAAGCAGAGGCACCTGGAGCAGTCGCTAACTCTGAGGCAGGACTTGGCCAGCCCCGTCCCGTGGCCTCAGCGGATCCTCCTAGGAACCCAATAGAGGGGCTGCCACATTTTGCAGACAAGAACACGGAGGCTGGGAGAGGAAAGTCACTTGTCCACGTCCCACAGCAGCCACACATCAGGGCCAGGCAGCCTGGCCTGGGCAGCACAGGGCCCCAGGCATGTCCCCCACCTCTGTGGGCTGGCTCCCAGTGATGTTAACAGAGCTATTGTATTATAACCTTGGGAGTATCCGTGACAGAGGCCAGAGCACTTTCATATACACTATCTCATTTGCCCCTCTCTCCAGACCTGTAAATCCTCAGTTTGATCGTATCTCCTCCTGTTTAAAGTCTGGAGGCCCAGAGAATTGAGTGACAAGCTAACGGGGCCTGGGGGCCTGCATTCTGCAGCTGCTGTCCATGTCCTCTATGGGCAGCCTGGGGGAGAAGCTCTTGGAGGCTCCCACTGCGGGGGAGACGGGAGACAGCTCTCCTGGGGAGCTGGGCCCACCCCCCAGCCAAGCCCCTCAATCACATTTGATGTCTTCCCAGCAGGAGAAAGGGCACCAAATGACCCAGCCAAGGGCAAAGTGCAGGGACAGCTGCCAGGGCCTCAGGGGAACCATAACCCCTCACCGCCTCCTCTCCCTGCCCAAGATCAACCCATGCCCTTCCAACAGCCAATGGGCAATCCCTCAGCCGGCTCCTCAGAGAGCTCACACCACGGACAGAGGGCCAAGCACTGCCACCAAGCGGGGCTGCTTCTGCACAAGTGCCCACTACCTGCCAGGCACAGGCCGTGCTGGGCAATCCAGCACCCAGCCTCATAAAACTCGTTCAATGAGTCATATCAACCCCATTTTACAGAAGAGGCAATGGGGCCTCAAAGAGGCCGAGTGACTTTTCCAAAGTCACACAGCCAGGAAGCCTCAGAGGTTCCCGGTGGTCAGTTTTAACCAGGGAGGCGCAGAGGGAAGCACCACCCAAAGCCCTTCAGAGGGAAGGAAGGGACCTCTGAGGAAGGGAGGCGGGGAGAAGGGAGGGGCTGCATCGTGAGCTCTCACTCCCTTGGGCCACGACTTACTCCTCAATCTATCTGTTCTCTATTCGTTACAAAATACAGGCACCGCTCCGTGTGCTGAGCATTGAGGCCTAGGTAAACCAGACTCATTTCTGCTCTCACACAGTTTATTACCTAGCAAGACAGAAAGGGAAACTGAGGCAGGCAGAGGCCACCACTTGCCTGGGTCTGCTAGTATTTACTGAGGGTCCACTGCAGGCCAGGCCCAGTGCTGGGCACAGATGGTACCAAGTAAAGGAGACACACGAGGCCCCCGACTCCTGCAGCATATATTCCCCGTGTGCTCAGCCCTGAGCCTCTGGAAACCCTGCATGCATGAGCCTGAGCCCTGCGTACAATGGGGAATTCCTCCAGAAGGGTTAGGGGACACAGCAGACCTAGGGGGCCTGAGAGTCACACTCGGGATCCAAAAGGGTAGGAGGCTGATTAGTGTCTTCCCTGGGGACTAAGTCAGGGCCCTGGGGAGGCCTGAGCTGTTCAAGAGGGGGTCTGGAGTCTGGACAATGGAAGGCCAGCAAGGGCCAGCCACTCAGGGTGTAGCCACAGACTCAAGTGGCTGGGGACACATCAGAGAATCTCAGAGCCAGGAGGGGCCCCATGGCTCTTATAGCCACCCCCCCATGCCTCTGTCCCCATGCTCCCCACGACAGAATACTGGGGTAGAGGCAGCACGAGGGCGTCCGATTTCAGCCACTCCAGCTAAAGGCCCATTTTACAGCCTCAGAAATGAAGAAGTGAAGCAGCAAAAGGACTCGCCCCAGATCACACCGCCGACTGGTGGCACAGGCAAACCGTGAGCCGGGGACGCTCAGTGCTGTC